AGCCAATTAACAGTTAAACTTAACTTGGATAACGGTCGAGATAAAATCGTTATGACTTATAAATTTTTCAAGCGATAGTAATATGATTTGTAAATTTTTCAAGCGATAGTAATCCTATAAAAACTTCCAGATGTCCAGTATTCTTGAATGAAGACTTCTAAAGTGAATTTGCATTTTAACCCAAAGCAAAAATGACATGAATAATCCGTACACCAGCCAACTCAACATTTTTAATCAACAAATAGTCAAACCTAACTTGAATAACAGATGGGGTGAAATTGCTGCAATTTGAGATTTTTATGGTTACATTAAACCTTAAAAAACTCTCGAATGTCCAATAACATTAAGTAAAAAGTTAAAGGTATACAAATATCTTTTATCTTTTTCAAAAAAGCATTAGGTACCATAAAAGATCCTAAAATAACTTGGACAAATGTGCATGTTAATCTAAAATTTTCTGCAACGGTTTGTGCGAAAAATGTAATTATAAAATTTTTGATTTCCAACGCGACTTTTTACATTTTTGTACATAAGTTGCAGTCTTGAAGTTCGATTTCATTTTTTTCCCCAGGTCAACTCGATTTTTTTTTTTGGCTGGAAGGCAAGATGAGATTATTAAATTAATATTTTTTGAAGAAAAGAGGCAAAATAATACTGCTTACATTATAAAGTAGATCTTATACTAAGAACTGGAGGAGTGTATACATATGTATATTAAAACATAGGGAGAATTCTGATTAAATCCAGTTAAAATATCAAAATCCAAATTAAGGTTTACACTTTTAACAAATCTCTAATTAGGCCAATAAGCCTTATTGGGAATCTTTAAATATTATTAAAAGACTAAAATATCCTTTTATAATTTAAAATAATATTATTTTGAAAAAAATTAAGCCATGAAAACTTGACATTATATAGTATTTATTTATACCAAATGTTTTACATAAAAAAAATTTGGAAATACTAGGAGCAAAAAATTGACAATGCATAATATGATATTTAATACTAAATTTGATATATTGATAAGAAATTTATGGGAACAAGGACTTTTTTTGGTAATGGGAATAAGATCCTTTAATTATTTGATTCCAACACCATTAGATTAATAATTTTTCAAAGGAATTTTTTTTCTTATAGTTGAAATATTAGAAGCTTAATGTATTAGTATGTTTCAGCATGAAATTTGTCATTTTCTTAAGTGCTTTGTTATATCTGTTATATAGATGTTCTCATCATATTATATCTTATAATCTTATTGCTAAAATTCTTACTAATAATTAATATGAGTTTGTATTAAAAATCTAAATCAATTTTTTAACATTTCATGGTATGGATGAAGTAATATGAACTTCTTAGTATAAATTTGTTAAAAAAATTATACATTTTACTCTTTTAATAACATATGGAGTAAGAATGCGTGAAGCCAATAGTTTATCTAGCAACATCTCAAGAAAAAAGAATTTAAGTCATAAATTGATTGGACCAATTACCAATTTGCTACTTTAAATGGGTATTTTAGTCTTCTAACAACATTTAAAAATTCCTAATAAGACCTGTTGGCCTAATTAAGAATTTGTTAAAAGTGTAGGCTTTAATTTGAATTTTGATATTTCAACAGGATTTAATTAGAATTCTTCCTAAAACATAAACTGTTTACAAAGTGTCAAAGCAAAAGGAACATAAACTATTGCCCTTTTTTTACCAGACATAAATTATTGCCTAGAAAATTAGAAAATATATTACAAGTCGCACTACAAAGTAAGTATTATATTAAGGATTGGAGAGTGTGTGTATTAAAACATAAAAGGTTTACCAAGTATCAAAGCAAATGGAACATAAACTATCGCCTTTTTTTTTTTTAACCAGACATAAATTATTGCCTAGAACATTAGAAAATGCATTATAAGAAATAAGCTTCCAAGGAAGAACATGAAAATTATGTAAAAGTCTTGTTATCTTTGAAGATTGAGCGTAAATTCTTCAAATTTCACTTTTAGAGATAAAGGGTGGAACACTTTTGGCTAAAGAAACAAACTTATTCTATATTTATGCTTTATGCTTGTGTTCCTATATTTTTGTTGGCAATAAAAAACCCTATATTTATACTTTATGCTTTTACCTTAAAAGCAAAAAAGATAGAAACATGTTAATTAAATAATGAAATTTTCAAATGGTCATCTAAATAAGTGAAATTTCAATTTAGATGTAGCTGACCAAATTAGAATTTATAAATTTACTAAAATAACATTATTGTCTTTTATTTTTTTTATAAAAAAACCAAACACTTTCACTGGCTGTTTAATTGCCAAAGCTCGAGTGTTGGCAAAGTCGAAGTTCCGACAACTCTGGTGGCTGGCAATTATTTTTTTGAGATTTTTTTAAGTCCAATAATATGATTAACAAGTTCTTTAATGCTATTAACATATTTGCTATAGCAGTTAACAACAGGTTTTTTAGGAATTTTAAAAAGTGATATTTTTACAATTTCAATAACATGGTTAACAAGTTCTGTAATGCTATTAACAAGTTCAATATAACATTTAACAACATGTTTTTTGAAAAATTCAAAAAGCGACATTTTTACATTTAAGTAACCTAATTAACAAGTCATGTAATGACATTAACAACTCTTATAACGTCATTAATAACTCTAATGATAAGTCATGTAATAATATTAAGAAATCTTATAACCATAGTAACTGCCTAATAAATGAAAAAAATTTGTTGTGCAACCTTTATTGGAAACTGATATTAAAAGCATCAACCTTTATTAAGAAATTTTGTTAATAGCACTATGAGAGTTGTAATATTGTTATATGACTTGTGAATTGCGTTACTGAAATTGTAAAAATATCATTTTTTGAATTTTTTGAAAAATCTGTTGTTAACTGCTATACTAAACTTATTAATAACATTTATGAAGCTGCAAAAATGCCTCTTTTTAAATTTTCTTGAAAACCTATTACTAACTATTGTACCAAACTTATTAATAACATTATAGAGCTTGTTAATTACGTTACTGAAATTGTAAAAATGTTACTTTTTGAATTCTGAAAAATTTGTTTTTAATTGGTATATTGAACTTGTTAATAGTGTTACAGAACTTGTAATACGCCACCTTTTGAATTTCTTAGAAAACTTGTTGTTAATTGCTATATTGAATTTGTTAGTAGTGTTAAAAAAAACTTGTTAATCACATTACTGGACTTAAAAAAAATTTCAAAAAAAAAAAGATGCCGGCCGTTGGAGCTCTAGTGACGGCGGCCCATCTGAACTCCGACTTTGAATTTTGAGTTACAATAGAATGAAAAAATATATATATAGGAATTAAAATTGAAAAAATTCAAATTTTCAGCATTTCATGTTCGTAAGATATCAAAATTTAAAACATGAGGTACTAAAATCAAAATTTGTGCAAACTTGATGGACTTAAAAATCATATTATCAAAGAAAGAATTTTTGTTGAGAGGTTGGGGTATTTGAAGGAAAATTAGAGAGTGAGGCTTTAAAGGCTCATTACTCAGGTTTTACCAAATCAAAAACTAATCAAACTAAAAAGATTTTTCCTTACTTCTTAGAATGTAACGCTTCGTCCAATCCTAATTAAGTAGCTGTACTTGTAGGAAGAAAATAAAATATGCAAGAAATAATGTATGCGGATGCATATTATATTTATAATATAATGTGGTGGTCCAAGTGGGGCCAAAGGCAACATGGCGTGCTCGTGATTGGCAAAGAAACTGTTCACAAGTTCCAAATCGCCTTCACGAGGCTCACATTCCCTTGCATGCCCTTTTTCCTCAGGAAGCTGCCGACCTCACAGCCAAATACAGCAAACCAACATATCAAACAAAACACCGCCCACTCTCCCTTTCTGTTTGCGCCATTTCCCCCATTTTCTCTTCTGCGAAAGCAGCTGAATCATTGGACCACGTAAAGACGCAAGCTCAATAATTATTCATTAAACTCGAGTAATTGACTTGACCATGATTAGAATAATGCTCCTACTTTTTATAGATGTCAAATTTTTTTAGATTCTGTGTAGGATTGTCTGAAATTTTTTTAATCAATTTTTACCTTAATTATCTTCATCTTAAATATAAGTCATTTTTAGAAGAAAATTTTGATACTAAATATGCAAGTCACTTATTATATATTTAATGCTTGTTTTTAAATTTTACCTTCATTTAATTCTCATTGGTAGAAATAAGGGAGCGATGTGAAAATAATTGGTAAACATAGGGAGAAAAACTTTAGTAAGGGTAAAATTAAAAATTTTGTTAATTTAATGCATTCATTGGTGTATAAGAATGTATTATAACTTACAAGTAACTTATATTGAGGAGCAGAATGGTACATTTCTTTTTATCCTTTATCTCATTACTAGTATTTCTTTCCCTTATTTGCTCATGCTTGGAAAAACAAGGCTTCATTTTTATATATTTATTGCTTAGAACTAATTTTAATTATTTTTTAAAATCACATAATTTAGTTAAAAAGATCTTTTAGAAAAGGTCGGATGGAATATAATTTAAATAAAATGTTGAAAAATATTTACGTAAAATATTAGAAAGACAATGCTAAAATTAATTGACATTAATTCACAATTACCGATTTATAAAATTCTAACTTTGCCAACCGAGGTTAGATTTTAATACCAGTTCTCTCTTTTTTTAATTAAATTATGATTCTTGTTCGAAGAAAATTATTTGCAGTTGAACTTAACAGTATTCTTCTAAATTCTTTGATGATTATGCGCAAGAGGCTTGTTGGAAATATTATTAACTATTAAATATGAATATCTTTTTTAATGAGGATTTGAATTTTGATTTGGCAATGTTATAAAGACCAGTCACCTTTTCTGCTAAAGCCAACTTTTATGAGTATACTAGATTTTTCTCCCCCCGTGCGTTGCACGGGAAATATGGACTCATGATCAATATGTGTCATTACAATATATAATGTAACATAGGATAAAATGGCTACTATAGATAAATACACTAAATACAATTACCATCTATATTTCTAAATATTTCCTTGTACGCAACATTTGTTGTGATTGACTTGAAGCAACCATCTTGATCGTCAACAACAACCTTCAGACCGTCCATACTTCTTACTCTGGATAATGCAACGTACAGCTGACCATGTGTGAAAACTGGCTTGGGTAAATATAGACCAACATGAGTTAATGATTGACCTTGACTTTTATTAATTGTCATTGCAAAAGATAATGTTATTGGGAATTGTCGCCTCTGCATTTTAAACGGCCAACGACTTTCTGAAGGATTCATATCCATCTGATGAATTAAAACCTTCTGATAGGGGCTCGATCCATTCAACGTGACAGCTTCAATCACATTTTTTCCCAAGTGACAAATTTTAAGGCGTGTACCATTGCACAAACCAGAAGCTTGGTCTATATTTCGTAATAGCATGATCGGTGCTCCCACTTTGAGTTCTAACTTGTGCAGTGGCATTCCAGAGCAAGAAATAGTATTCAAGAATTCTGTGTTGTACAAATCGTCAACTGTATCTATTTCTTGATCTGCTTTACAGACAGTATCACAACTGAGAAATTGAAATGAATCTCCTGGTAACAAAGAACACATGTAATAATTTATTTGATTGACCATCTCAATTGTTGGAGCCAAGATTGCTCTGTCATTGAAATAGTCATTAGACGCTAAATTATGAAGAAGATATGGGTAAGTGCTGTGTACAATTGCATGAAGAGCATTGTCATAGTTTGTGAGTAACAACTGTTTAGGGATTTCAATATCTGCAACACCATCTTTTGATTGCCCTATTTTTCCATCACCAATATTTAGCAACCAATTCGAAAACCATTCTAACCTTTCTCTATCATTGGAACTATTAGTTTTCCTTAATCGCATGTTCTTCGTTAACTTGAAAATTCTGCAATGATTCCATAAATATGAAGAATTAATGGAAGCATTAACAATTGTAGCTCTTGTACCTTTTGGTATCACTGGAAGTATCTGACGAAAGTCACCACCCATAACAATGCATTTCCCACCAAATGGTAAGTTAGAGTGCATGATATCCTTTAATGTTCTATCAAATGCTTCAATGCAATATCTTTGAACCATAGGTGCTTCATCCCATATAATTAACTTCGTGGACTTAATCAGATTAGCTAGTGGTGAATTTTGTTTTATCCCACATACAGAAGATTCAGTGATTTGAATAGGAATTGCAAACCTTGAATGTGCCGTTCTTCCAGATGGTAATAATGTTGCTGCTATTCCACTTGATGCAACTGGAAGAACTATCTCACCCTTTGCCCGTAATGTTGTAATTAATACATTCCAAAGAAAGGTCTTCCCAGTACCGCCATATCCATAAACAAAGAAAAATCCACCCTGAGGTAGATTTGTTGCAGATAATATATTATCATATATGATTCGCTACTCGTCATTCAACTTCTGCATGAGCGTGGTAGTCTTTAATTTCAAAGACTCTCTATCATAATTTAACTCTTGCATTATCAGATGGTTCGCTATATCAATGACTGGAGTATTCAATGGCAATGGAAGAGATGGAAATTCATGAAGAGTCTTCCCATTTGCTCTGAGAAGATTATTAATCTCTTTCAAGGCCATATTCTCTTTATCAAACAATGAGATATGAATATCTACAAAATATGGAAAAAATTGGTATAAATATCAATATGATATATATACACACACATGTTTTAGGACATGAGAATTGTAGCTCACATACCTGAGAGGACAGGATCATTGCGAGGTATGTGAAGTAGATCTTCTGAGAGTATATTTGATGTCTCTTTCCATACAGTGTCAGGATGTTGCAGTGAGCAACACAATAACATGCTTACGAAAAGCCTTCGCAGTTGAGATCCTGAAGCCCATACTGATGCTTCTTTTATTGCAGCAATATATTCATTGTCATCTTCTAAGAGTCCACGTGCAAAACATGCAGCTTTAAAAGTATCATGAATCACTCCATCAATAGTTTTGATATCATCAAATGAAGTTGGACCCTTCACTTTATTTAACAAAATTCGGAGATAATATAATTCTCCAGATGATGGCGATACATGTGTAATTCTACCAACAGCAAACCCCTTCTCTCTTCGTTTCCATTGGCGTTTATCTTTTTGATAAACATAATAATTAGGAAATTCAGCATAAGTAAGATTTGCCGCTAAATCATCATCATTGTTCATTTTCATCCAAGCCAAAAACTGTGACTCACTAACTCGTGGTCTTTGTAATAAGTCCGCAACATCATCAGTATTAGAATAAATTACATATTGTTGATTTGGCAAGTGGAAACTCAATCTTTCAACCGGAGGAAACCGATAATGGATATCAAATCCAAACATACGCCATGATGCTTCACATGCAGATATGTATCTACAACTATAATATTGCCTTATTTCATCAACAATTTCATCCTTGTTGTTATCCTTATCAAATATAGTAGCGACAACTCTATCATTGCCTTTGCTAATATATTTAAATAAGTATTTAATTGAAGTAGATTGATTGCACTTCTCGACATTTATATGTCCTTGAAACATGCACAGAAGGGTAGGATTATATGGAACAACATAACGATTATCTAAGCAGACACCTTTAACTTCAATTGTTTTTCCATCATTTCTTCTTCTGTATGTGGGATAACCATCATCATCAACTGTGGTAACATCATTCAACTTTTTTGGAAAGTATTTGCTACATTTGTTGTCTTTCATGCAAGGAGATTTTGGGTTAACTATTCCACATGGACCATGGATCATATACTTCTTAACTAAGTCATACAGAATAGAAGAAGAATGCTTATCTGGAATCTCAACCGAAATAATCCGGTCAATGGCTTTTGGATCCTTGATTTTGTCATTTTCATCAAGAAATAACAGGATATGTGCATGTGGAAGGCCTCGTTTTTGGAATTCAATAGTGTAAACTTCTGTAGAAAATAAAAAAAGATAAGATATATTAATAATGAATATCACTTATAAAGTATAGACAGTAATAATAATTTAAAAAATTAATGATTTAAACATTAAGAAATATAAAAAAATAATTTTGGACTAACCTGCACGAATTGTCCCAAATATCTTCTTCTCCCTTAATGTTTTCATGAAAGATCGTAATTTCATTTTGAAAACTCTGGACAATATTTTTGGTCGATCACATGGACTTACATTATCTTGTTGGCAAAGTCTAGTGATTTCAGGCCATGCTGAATTGCAAGTAAATGTGATAAATAAATCTGGATAGCCTGCCCATCTGCATAATGCCATAGCATCTTGATAATTTTGTAGCATATATCTTGCACCACCAGTAAAGGTTGATGGTAAAATGATACGTTTTCCCGTGTGTGAAGCATTTCTCTCACCACTTAAAACAACATCAGATAATCCTTGATATAAATCAGCTCGGAGTTCTTTTTGATGAGTTCTAACCCAAAGCAATCGTTGTGATTCAATCATTGTGTAGCCATCGACAATGAATTGTTGAAGTAATCTTGATGCATGTAATAGGATTGACACCTCATTCTCTCTTCTCATAAGCCTGTATGTGAAAAATCCACGTATGCTTAACCTCTTTCTTGACTTTGTAATTGCAAGAGTTTCTTGTCTGTGTTCAATATCATCTCTATAACCATCTTCACCATATGGAAATAACAGAGGATATTGTAGAGGTAAATATGCTGGATGGAGTTCATTAATTCGTCGAGGTCTCCCTGATTGCTCTTCAGCAATGATATCTCTGACATTAAACGTCATATCTATATCACCAACAATTAATGTTGCAACTTCAGAAGCAGATGGAAGATTATAGGTTCGCCCATCATGTGCCCTGGAACTTAGCAAGCATAACTTCAAATGTTGATGATTTTGAATGCTCAGAAACTGAGAAGCAAATCGATATTGTTGTACAAAAGGATTAATTTCATCTAAAACCATCTTGATTTGCAGAACAATTCCTGGATCAATTGTTGATTCCTTCTGGTGTTTACTACAGGAAAAATAAATATCAATTTTCAATTCATTGATGAAATAAATAGGTATAATACATAGTAAAGATATTAAAAGTAGCTAGTACCTGACAGCAGCAATTCTATTGGAAACCTCATTGTCAGTATCAAATATGTATAGTTGTGAATACACTGGTTCTGAACCTTGAACTGGCAATAAGCTACCAATATTATGATAGTTTTGTCCAGACAATATGAATGAGTAAGGACCTCCACCAGAATTTTTAGAATGATCAATCTTTCCTCCCATTGATGTGAAAGAAAACATGTTATTATACTGTCTTATATTTGACAGAAAATTCTTCGTCTGTGCATTATCCTTTTGCAGAAATAACCGCTGGAATATAGGAGGTGGAGTCTTCAAAGGTGGTAACACAATTTTTCCTTGCATACAGCACATTGAGAAGATATTTATGGACCTTTTTTTATTATCTTTCTTGACTCTTTCATTAAACCACATGAGAGCACCACAAAATTTGCATTTATGTATAGGATCTCCCTCATCAATGTATCCTAAAGAACAATTTAAAGTTAATCAGATTATTATAAGGAGACAATAATATTACAGTATATTTAAATTTAGACATAATATGATACCTTCGTTATAAATTTGGTGATCCAAGCTAGCTGTTGATGTATGGTAAGCATACTGTAAATGAGTAAGTGTGTTGCATATTTCTATATCTGTTGAAATTGAACACATGTTATAACCAAACTATCATATGGACATATATAAATGTATATATAAAATTATAAACATCTAATGGAAAACTTAAAAATAATAACCTGCCATGTTTTCATCGTGCCTAATATTATCTTCAATATCATCATTATCATTAGCACCAATCATGATCTCAATATCCTTGTAAAACATTTCTTGCTCTGCGAAGTCTGATATATGCATTGCACATGCATTAAAATAAGGTCTAATATAGAAACATATATCATGATCCTAACAATTAAGGAGCAAGATATTATCATTCGCTCAATTAGGTAACTTACATGCAGTAATACTAATGTCATTCAAAAAAATTAATTATTATGCATTATTTTATTAACCTTAAATAAAGATGAACTAATATATTTTTTATGCCTCTTGTAGTCAAATTATAAAGTATTCAAAATACTTACTTTTAGCCCATGTATTTGTTGCATTTGTCTGTTTTTGCTGCCAATTTTTCACAGGTGCACTTGTATTTGTACAAAGTGACGAACTTCCCATTGTATTTGTTGCCATGGCCTTGCATGTTGAGGCTGTCTATTTATAAGAAGATTAGTTCTCCTATGATAGCTAATGTTGAAATGCTTTATAATGATGAATGTTAATGTTTTGGTTTATTGATCTTGCTACTAGGATTTCATTAAAAGCTCATCCCCCATATGTAACCTAACATTTTAGGGGCTGAATCATCAAAAGGGAGACTACAAATCCAAGGATAAAAATGGTGATGAACTATGAGGAAACAATGATGTTTGGTTATGTACAAGTATATATGCTTGATGTTGTAACCCTAAGCAGGACGCCAATTTTGAGCCATGTTTTTGTTAAGTTCCTAAATGAACTTCTTCACAAAATTTGGTTTTCTTAAAGTTCACATCATGAGTTTCAAATCAATAGAAAACACGTTAAAAATGGCTAACTATACAATTTTTAATAATTTTTCAAAGTTAAGGTCCAGAATATGAAAAGAGAGTTTTTACCAAAAAGACAGAGGTAATTTTCACAAAAACCTGACACTTTTTCAAATGGAATTGGTTCACAAAATTATTTTTTCTTGAAAGAGCATTTAAAGAGCTTTCTATAGAATTTTGAACCACTCCATTTCGATTTTTTTTATTAAGTTATAATTTAAACTGGATTTTTACTAAATAAACAGTAAAAATCCGAAAAGTAGTGTCCTCAACGTCATAAATGAGATTTTTGAGCCCAAAAGCCATCCAATGTGGTCTAAAATAGTTCCAATAGAACTCTAAGTTGTTCTAGAAGTAAGGTGTAATAACTTCAAACTAAGATTTCCATAAATTTCTTTCTACTATTTTCACATAAAATATTTTCCATATTATATCAACATTATCATCTCGACAATAACCATATAATTTGTGTTGTGTATAGAGGTATGTACTATTGAGTTCTAGAAAAGAGGCCTCCCATCTGCTCATATACTTCTCTTCTTGTCACGTGAAGATAAAATCAAGGATGCAAGTGAAATTGATAAGGCCATCTCTATAAAGATTCCAGATAAGGAGTCATCACCAGATTTTTATGAGTTAGTGAAGAAGTACATGCTCTATGGTCCATGTGGTCCTAGCAATCCAAGGTCTCTATGCATGAAGGACAAAAAATGCACTAAGTACTTTCCCACGAAGTTCAATCAACAAACAACCGTAGATGAGGATGGTTACCCAACTTATAGAAGCTGAGATGATGGTAGATCTATTAAAGTAAAGGGTACTTTGTTGGACAATCGGTATGTGGTCCCTTATAATCCAACATTGCTCTATATGTTCAATGCTCATATAAATATTGAGAAATGCAACCAATCTATTGCAATAAAATATTTGTTCAAATACATCAACAAAGGTAGTGACATAGTTATTGCAACAATATTTGATAGTTCCTCAAATAATAACAATGAGAGCTAGCAATATTATAATTATAGATATATTTCTACATGTGAAGCATCATGGCGAATATTTAGTTCCAACATTCACCATAGGAATCCTAATGTTGAGAAGTTAAGCTTTCATCTACCAAACCAACATGTCATCTATTCTAATTCTGATGATATTTCAGAGTTGTTGGACAAGCCTAGAGTTTGTGAGTCATAATTCCTTACATGGATAAAAACAAACAAGCTTTATAGTTTTGCTAGGACATTGACTTACATTGAGTTCCCTAACTATTATGTTTATCTAAAGAACAAAAGGAAATGGAAAAGGAAGACAAGAGGTTTTGTGGTTGGTCGGATGACTCATGTGTCCCCTTTCTGCTGGTGAATTGTACTACTTACGTGTGTTGCTAACAAAACTGAGGGGCCTATCTTCCCTCACTGAAATAAAGATTGTTGATGGTGTCATTTACAACAAGTTCAAAGAAGCATGTTTTGCCTATGGTTTATTAGACAAAGACAATGAATACATCTCAGCTATAAAGGAATCTTCTGTTTAGGCATTTGGTTTGTCCTTATGGAAACTATTTGTCAGTATGCTATTGTCATGCAGTATTGAACATCCTGGTTATATGTGGAGGTAGACATCCGATCTCCTTTCAGATGACATGCTTTATATTCCCTGCCAAGATCTAACGTCTTCAAGTAAGTTTCGTACTAATTCATTATATTACATTACGCATATTTTTTTTGGTGAATTACATTCCGCATATTATCACACTATAATTAACATTTCACATCATCCCCCATCAATATCTTTACTATTTCTAATGGAATATGCTACTATTGTAGGTGTTACAGTTACCCTCGATGACAAGTCACAAGCTGCTCTTAAAGAGATTGATTACTTCCTCCATTAGAATGGCAATAATTTAGCCGACTACCCTTCCATGCCGACACTTGATGACTCACAACCCATTGAAGTCACCAACCATCTTATTATGCAAGAGCTCAATTATGACAGAAGTAATTTGGAAGGTATATCTACTAATTTGGTATCATCACTTAATTCTGAGCACAAAGAAATATATGACACAGTCATATCTGCTATTCAAATGAGTCTTGGTGGTTTCTTCTTTGTATATGGTTATGGTAGAACTGGGAAGACATTCTTGTAAAATGCCCTAACTTCATCATTGCGTGCCAAAGGTGTTATTGTTCTTCCTGTTGCATTGAGTAGTATTGCCGCAACTTTGCTACAATCAGGTAGAATAGCCCACTCTAGATTTGCAATCTCAATTCAAGTCAATGAGTCTTCTGTTTGTGCAATTACACAAAACTCAAACCTTGCGAACTTGCTCAAAATTACCAAATTAATCATTTAGGATGAAGCACCCATGCTTCAGCGTTTTTGTATGGAGGCATTTGATAGTAGAGTCGGGAAAACGAGCCGAGCCCGTTTAGGCCCTGAAATTATGAGGGTCGGGCTTGATATTTTTCTCTTAAAATGAGAAATAAGCCCTGGAGGGCCGAGGGCTTAAAAGGGCCGGCCCTTTTAAACCATTTTATAATTTTTTTTATTTTTAAAATTTTTTATATAATATTAATATTATTAATTTTTTACATTGTTAATAATATTTCAAATATTTAGTTATTATTATCATTTTAAAATTAAATTTACTTTTAGACAATAATTTATCCAATTAAATTTTTAAAAAATGGGTTAATTTGGATTTTAATAATGATTTGATTTATATTATATGCGTTGATATTTTTAAACTATATATATTTGATAATAGAATATTTTTATACTTATATAACTTGTGATTCTATAATTTGAATTAGAAATTCATGAGTTTTAACAACAATGTTTCTCACATTAAAGTAAAATAATAGTTAGATTGCAAAATTTAAAAATAAAATTCTTATAAAGAAGAAAAACTTGATATTTTTGTTACGAAAGAAAAGCATACTTATGAAGAAAAGTAATTAATTATAGTGATGATGAAGTTTCAAAAAGATTAATGATAGTGTTTATTTATTGCACAATTGCATTATAAATAAAACTTTTAGATGTTGTTATCTTATTAATGAATGTTTTAGATGTTCTTAGATGTTGATGAATATTTATATATGATGATATTTTATATTTGTGACTTAATTTTATTCATATTTATGTCTTTTATTAATAATTTCATTGGTTTATTTTTATATTTTTATAAAAAAATATGATAAATATCAAAAATAGTATTTTTTTTAAACGGACCAAAAGCCCGCGGGCTGGCCCTGGTCCTGCAGCTTAAGGGCCGAGCCTAGCAAATTGGAGTATTTTTAAAATTTCAGCCCTGGAGGGCCGGCCCTTTTAAGCCCGCCAGCCCTGAAGGGCCGGCTCTGATTCCCAGCTCTATTTGATAAGACACTTAAGGACATCATATAATGTGATAGACCATTTGGTGGGCAATGTATTCTAATGGGTGGTGACTTTCGCCAAATTCTACCAGTTATTCCTAAAGGCACATGAGGAAGTATTGTTGATGCATACATTAATTCTTCACATTTATGGGACCAATGCACAATCTTCCAGTTGACCAAGAATATGCGGTTGATTTCGTCACGCATAGATATTAACCAACAAAAATTGGCTTTTTTTTTGTTTAAATGGTTATTGGATGTTAGGGATGGCAAGTTAGATGTCTTACAAGATGGCGTTGCAGATATTGAGATCCTAATAGAGTTATTTTTGCCTTATGGAGGAAATCCTGTCCAAATAATTGTTTCTTCCACCTATCCTGCTTTGTTAGATAATTTGAATTCTAATGATTATTTCAATGACAGAGCGATTCTTGCTCCTACTCTAGAGATGGTTAATACCATCAATGACCACATGTGTAAGTCATTGCCAGGCGAGGAATATGAGTTCTACAGTTGTGATTCATTTTGTAAGACTACTGATGAAAGTGATACCTTTGACAACCTTTACACCATAGAATTCTTAAACACAATAACATGTTCAGATTTGCCTCCACATAAACTAACCTTGAAAGTTAGAGTACCGATCATGCTGTTGAGGAACATTGATCAAGCTTACAGTTTATGCAATGGCACACGCCTTCATTCATAAAGCTTGGTAATATAGTGATCGAGGCAATCAGATTGAACTAATCCCAACTAGAAGGTTCTAATTCATAGGATGGACATGAACCCATCAAAAAATAGATGGCTATTTTGCATGTAACGAAGACAGTTCCCAATAGCGTTATCATTTGATATGACTATCAACAAAAGTCAAGGGCAATCTCTTCGACATGTTGGATTATACTTATGCAAGCCAGTTTTCATACATGGTCAATCATATGCTGCTATGTTTAGAGTCAAAAGCATGCAAGGTTTAAATATAATCATTGGTGATGCAGATAGTAGCTCACAAATCACAACCTGAAATGTTGTGTATCAAGAAGTGTTCATGAATGTATAATACAATTGCAATATGCAAGCATCTTTTCATTCATATTGTATTTTCCAATACATAAAGTGTGGATATCATGTTTTCAGTAATGTGCGGTGTGGCACACATTTGAATGGGTGAAAATGGAACTTTTCACTTCAAAATTTGCAGCTTAGGTGTAAT